CCGTAGAATCTGAAAAAAATATTTATAAAATTTTAGGGGGTAGTTTTTAGTTAGGATTCGCCAATTACCAGAAAGTGTGTGGTAAATCATGGGAAAACTGTTTCGAAGATTAACAGGTTATTCGTTTTTTTGTTAATAAACATTAAAATCATTCTAAAAAGGCACTCAACTTATTTATATACTTAATATTTCTATAAGATTTATAAAGTATTTCATATCCAATAGAAAATGTATATTCTGAGAATTAAAGAAATTCTTTTATTGGATGAGATATAACAGAGTTAAAACACACGCACATGCATACATGCATATGTGCACATGTACATACACATACAATATGGATGTATTCGAGGAGACGCTATTTAGCGTTATCGCGTCATTCTATTTTTATTGCTCTTGACATATGCACAACAAGGATAGAATGACTCGGTAGCGCTAGAGTCTCCTCGAACGCACTTTATATAACACGAAAATGATCGGACATCAATTTATTTTTTATTTTTTATTTATTATTATATAATTATTATTTATTTATTATTATATAATTTTCTTATTATAAATATTTATATAATTTATTATAATATAAAAATGCAGATGTTAATTGCATACGAGACCTGCGAAAAAGAATATAAGTATGATTAGCATATTCAATCAAAGAAGTGGATTTTAAGAAAATTCACTTTTAAAATAAAAAAAAATTGGAAACTTGAATTTTAAAAGTATTAAAACATATTTTTACCTAAATAATCATCCATTAACGTTCCAATAGCGAACTGAAAATAAAATAATTCATATATATGCGTATACACACACACACACACGCGCGCGCGCGCGCGTACATATATACGTACACACATATGCGCGCGCGTGTGCACACACACATTTGGGTCTCTTTTTACATTGTGGATGCGTACCGTGTAAAAAAAACCATGTAAAAAAAGTGTAAAAATTGATTTGCAACAAAGTATAAAACTTGTGTTAAAATAACGCAAACTATACAAAAAACAATTTAAAATATAGAAATGCATTCACTGAAAACATTTTATTTAATAAGCATATAAAAGAAAAATTAATGTGTTGAAGAAAATGAAAAAAAAAAAAACTATTTAAAAAATCGATATTTTACGACAAAAGTGTGTAAATATGAATAAAACGTGTTAAATAAACCGTGTAAATGTAAATAAAACATTAAAAAATATCGTGTAAAAAGAAACCCGTGTGTGTTTGTGTATGTGTGTGTTTAACATATACAAAATATACAAAAAAAATAATTGTTATATATCTATTTTCTAAATTTAATACTAACAATTCCTGTAGCATCGACTCTCGTGCCTACAATTTTTAGCCTGATTTCGTCATCTGCTTGAATAAT